CATCAGGATTTACACATAAATATTGCGCAGATGCATGCATGTTTTTTATGGAAAAATTTAGTAAAATAAAAAAGTGTTGTTGGTTTTAGTCCCGATTATCTAACCGAGACTACGAATTCGAAACAAGATCGATCTCTAGTCGAACTAAAGAGAGAATAACAGCAGTTCGGATGGTCCCCTTTCTTTTTTTTTATTTTCTCCCGAATCAAGTGGCATGCATATCCCTAAATCTCAAATCAAAGTAACATCCCAAATCCACATCACAAATCTTAAAGTTACTTATACACATAAATCAAATACATCGCAAATCCTAAAAAAATTACACACAAATCAAATTACATCACAAGTTCTACAAAATTCATCGCAAATACATCACAAGTTCACATTGCACACAAATCAAATACATCACAGGATCATGCAATAAATCACAAATTCAAAAAAAAAACCATAGAGGCGCCGCCCGGCCAGCCGCTGCCGCCTCCTCTCTGCACCGGCCGGCCACCGCCGCGCCGCCGCCCACCGCCACCGCGCAAGCCGCCGCCGAGCCGGCCGCCGCCTGGCCGGCCCGCTCTCGCGCTCGATCTCGCTCAATCAAAAAAAGAGGAAGGAAGAAAGAGATAAGGCAGGAGTTAGAGAGGAAGAAAGAAAGAAAGAGATAGAGTTTGCTGTGTGGACGAGAGAAGAGGATAAGTAATAGGGATTTTATAGTACGTGTTGATTTTTATTCCCGGTTAGTAACACCAACCGAGATTAAACTTAGATCTTTAGTCCCGATTTATAAGATCCTAGGCGCCTGACACGGAACCAATCGGGACTAAAAATCATCTTTAGTCTTGGTTGGTGTAAAGATCATTTTTAGTCCCAGTTGGTAACACCAACCAGGAATAAAGATCATCTAGTCCTGTTGTTCTTATAAACCGGGACTAAAAATCGTTTCTAGTCCCGGTTTTTAATGGAACCGGGACTATTGTGGATTTGGGTCAACCGACCAAAGATTATTTCTCCACCAGTGTTATTATACGTGTATTAGGAAATACATATTCATAGATGTGTGAGTGTGTTTTTGCATGTGTGCACTTTTACCGTGTACTACTTTGCTCATCGGATTATGAGTGTGTACAATTTGTGAGTGTGTGAGTGTGGAGTAATAAAAAAAGACATATAGTTAGGTATTGTTAGTTACTTTCTCTCTCTTTTTCTTTCTTTCTCTTTCTCTTTCTGTTTTTTAAATTAAAGTTAAGATAAGAAGATTACGTGAAAAATTAAATAAAAGATGATTATCATCATTTGAGATGAGAGTGAAAAATTAATAAACAAGATTTAAATTTTAGAAGTAACCACAATACGAGGACGGAGATGGTAAAACGTAACGGGAAAGGTGAAAAAAAAATTGGCATTCACCTTTGAATATATATTCGATCTGGTGTAATGTTGACTGAAGTGAAATTGAACCCTTACTTTGCCTACCGCTTTCAATAATCCTGTAGGCTTTGTGTCGTACTACTCATCGGTCCATTCGTTTTGCTCATCGGATTATTCAAAAAATGAGAGAGGGAGCGTTGCCATCAATAACTAAAAAAAATCTACATCATCATCGCGAGTAGCAGTCTGCCAGGTAATTTAGCACCTGCGGAAACATGACCAATAGAAGAACGCAGGTTGACTTCAAACATTCTCCTGTTCTCCATTTCGGCTCTGGACGGTGGCTTTTTTCTTGATACTTAGAAAACCACTGCTAGGTGAAATATATGCTAGTACACGAAATATAGTGACTAAGAACATTTCCAACAGAGTGGTCATCCCACTCTCCAAGTTAAAATTTGATAGCTATGGACTAAAAACGAGCTTCAATAGTATTGCTAAACGGATGGCCAAGCCATCTGGCTGGCCAAACTGGCTCTCTCAGTAGCCAAACTTGGCCAGTCCAAATTAGCTTACCAATCGTGGGTCCCACGTGAGATGCTCTCTCCCTCCTCTTTCTCCCCCCCCCACTCTCTTCCGGTGGCCGATCGAGGTCACCGTCGCCAGCTTCCCTTGCCCGTCGTCACCTCCAGCCTCGCACACGCGGGGAGCCGTCGCCTCCCGCCTCACGCGCGTGTGTACTCGAGGATGGATCGATGGGCCGATGCGGGAGAAGAGAAAGAGGAGGAGGAAGAAGGCAATGGAGGCTGACATGTGGGTCCTTTATCATTTTGGAGATGTAAATATAGAGACTGTTGAAGTGAACACCTAGTTTAACTATCCAAACCAGTTAAAGAGTTGGCTATATCAGTATTTGGAGAGTCTAATTTGGAGATGTTGTTGGAGATGCTCTAATCTTCTTGGGCTGTACCGCAGGTTATTTGCCTATTAATATATATACTCCATAGTACTGATCATTTATAATATTTAATAACGAAATTTGGTTGTAACCTACCTATTTTTTTCATATTCTCACCAGCTGACTTCTTACCAGCTGTTTCTCAAAATTTTAAACTTATCTAAATAAGGTCTATATACCCAATTATAATCGTAAATCTGCATAAAAGATAATATGTTACCGACAACATGTCATGCATCAATTTTTCCCACCTACCTATTCTACCCATCTCCACCTTCTATCCATCTCTAATTCTACTCTAGACCCATTGAATAGGTAAGTATTGAGCTCATGAGTAGTCAATGCTATGGCTATGGATATGGCGTAGCTAGCCGTCTACTGCTGGCCTGCGGCTAGTAGTTGGCTATTAGCTTACCTTCCGATTTTTGCTGCTGCAGCTAGCTAGTGCAGCCGAGTAAGCTCAGTAGTAACTATAACCTAGTCAATACACCATGTTTGTTATAGAATTGTTTGATTTTTCAATTACCTGAAAATACCCACAAATTTCAATCACCTTTAGATGGTATAGATTATGCTACAACTCGTATGCTACAGAAACCTTGTCCTAATCTCTTCTCCCCTCTCACCTTGTCCTTAAGAAATACCTTTTCATAGACGACTTCCCTATAGAATTATAGGCGAGGCCTTCAGGAGGACCACCTATGATAAGGCCATTTCGAGGTAACGCTAGATCGAACGCTCGCCTCCCCAATGAGCGCCACTACCTCCTCGACCACTAATGCGTCGCCTTTTATAATTGTTCGCGCCAACGAGACTGCTCTAACTGGCTTCCTCCTCCTCCCCTTCCCCACCTTCCCAAGCCGGGCAGCAGTGAGGACCCCTGCCATCTTCCTTGTCTCTAGCGGCTCGCGTCATTGAAGACACCCCTAACACCCCCCCGCCTCTTAACCACCCAAACTTCCACGCTCCTGCCGACCTCTCCACCCATTGCCCTTCAATTCTACAACTATGAAGGAACCACTCCCGCCTCGCCACCCACCTATGTTTGCCGCCCACCGCCATTTTCGTCGCCCTCGGCTATCCCTCTAAATCCGTGAAAGCTCTCCGTCCTTCCTCTCCCCACCCTTTCTCACATCGACTCCCACCCTGGAACCTAAACTCTAAGTTCTCTGCAAGAGTTTCGATGCTTTGAGCACCGTCGAGGAGTCACATCCTCTTTCACCGTTAGTTGGTGAGTTAATTACCCCCTACTCCCTTCATCCGTCCCCACTCATGGAATTCAGTGTTGTATTAAAGGGAGTTCAGTGTTAGGTTAAAGGTGATTGAAGTTCATAGCATCCTCTTTTTTTTTTAGTTTGAACTATGGATCACATGACGTATTTAACTTGTGACATGTGCGCAACGACTTTGCTAAACATCTCTGATATTTGATGTTTTCCTGGGCGTAGGATCGTGTGTCAAGATTAGTGCAGGAAATTACAGTTCTATATAACTAAAATTACATTCGTAAATTCAGTTGATATGACATGTAAATGTATTGTAATTGGTAAAAATGTTGTGCAAGTAAATATGTATTTGTTATTTTCTTTAAAATATAAAATTACAGTGCTATATAACTAAAATTACATTTGCAAATTCAGTTGATATGAAATGTAAGTGCGTTGTAATTTTGATAAAAATATTGTGTAAGTAAATATGTATTGTTGTGTTCTTTTTTAGTTATTTGGATGTAAATCTAAGGGTAGAAAAAACCTGGGTGATTTTTTTTTTTAGAAATCACCCGACAAATGGATAGACAGTTCCGTGTCGTAAACGCCTTTGACCCAAACAGAAAAGTGTAGTAAACATAACGAGGCATCCCCCCACGATTCATGATTTTTTTTATTTTTACATTTTTATTAAAATATTTACAAAAACATTTTTTTCAAAATTTACAATTCTAGTCGCCTCTCGCCCTCTGGAAGGGCATTTTTTAAAAATCGTCCTTCCAGAGGGCTTTAGGGGACCTAAATACAAATTTTTTATTTGTGTTCAAACTCTTTCCACCGGTTTTAATTGCTTAAAAACTAATAATTCTTATTCGACGCTCCAAATGATTTTAAATGGAAAAGTGATAAGCTACAAAGTTGTAGATATCATCCAGATCTACAACTTTTATATAAAGTTTATCTCCATCCAATGTCGTTTGAAATGTAGATATGAGATTTTTTAAAAAATAGGTTTTGCATTTTGTAACGAATATTTGGATATCTAAAAGATCTTAAATGAAAAAGTTGTTAACTACAAACTTGTATATCTCCTCGAGCTCTAAAATTTTTATATAAAGTTTTATTTCATTTGACTTTATATAATATAATTTTAAATTGTAAAATCATAGAGTTGACAAGTTATACTGGAAAATTTACATTTAGGTCCCTTAATACCCTCTGTGAGGGTGATTTTTCCCAGCGGGCGAGAGGCATTTGTAAATTTTCGAAACAAAAGATTATTTTTTAAAATATTTTAATAAAAAAATATATAAATAAAAAAAATTCCACGATTCATCTCATTAGCCCACTAAGCAAACTAGTGGGCCCAATAGCCCAATTCCGTGGCCCCAGAACCAGCGCCTCCGAGCCCAGTGGGCCCATCTTGTCAGTGACTGACACCAAGGACACCGCGACGCGGCCCCCTCCGCCTCGCAAAGCAATTTTGCCATTCTCCCGTTTCAAACCCGCGCTCTCTCTCTCTCTCTCTCTCTCTCCCCCTCCCTGCCGCTGCTGCCGCCACCGCCGCGGCGGCGCCCCGATTCGGTGATCCCCCGCTCGCCCATCTCCGCCGTGACGTATCGGCGACGCGGAGGGAGCCCCCCACCCCCCACCTCCGGATCTAGGGTTTCGAGGCCCAGGTGGCGTTGCGCTGCGCCCCCGCTCCTCCGCCTCTCCTCCGCCGCCGAGGGTTCGCGTGAGGTAACCGACGCGCCCCCGTTTGGTAATCGCACCGGCAGATATCGTGGGGGTTCGTTTCTCCGTGGCGTGTTTTGGTGATGGATCCGATCTAGGTTTGTTTTAGGGGCTATTTTGACCCAAATTTCAGGTGTTTTGCGGAGATTGTAGTGTTTCTACCTAGAAATACTGCGATTATTGGTGCGTTTGGAGATGCCACTGGCTGTGAAATTTCCTGTGGGAACTCGTTTCCAGTTCGCTGGGGATTTATGGAATGGTTACGGTTTTGCAATATTACGGGTTTTGCGAACTAAGGCTTCGGTTTGGTCGCTCATGGGAGCAATATTTAGTACGATTGTCATCGCCATTTCTGCAATTCCACCAGCGATTGGTTGCTCTGTTCGTACTCCCAATAGAAAGCTTGCTCCGCTGCTGATATTTAAAGTGCTTCGTTGGTGGATTTCAACTGCAGATGTTGGGCTCTGAAGGAAATGGTGCAATTTCTTCGTGCATGATGCTCGTATATTGTGTCTATTATGTAGTCCTGCCTGCTTCGGTGGTTCTAGATGCTACAGCTTTATCTGCCATTCTATTTATGCTGCATTCTATGTTCAGGGCATGCGCAAAATATTATTGAAATGATCATTTACTTGAAGATAATTGGATTTATTTCATTAATTGCTCCGTAAGCCTTGATTCATAGGTAGTATTATGCTTTTTTTACTACTAAGTCTGTAGAATCCCATCTCTCCTGCAATAGCTCATAAGAAAGTGACATGTTGTGCGATGCAGAACTGGTTCTGAATGCATAGTCCTTAGTGCATTTTGAGCTACCCTTTGTCAGGACTGTAGTCTCTGTAAATAGTGGGAGAATTCATTGGCTAAAAAGATGACAAAAGCTAGCTGCTTATCAGTATTAAGTGTCGCACCATTTCTTTTATCATGCGAGTAGTGCAAGTGCCTGAAGGGTTATCCCATTTAGCTATTCCAAATGGCACATACGAAATATGATTATTTGTTCATTTGATCCGTGATACTTAGGTAGCTATGATCTGTCTCTGCTCGGTTTGTTTTTCTGTTCAGACATGCAGAATACAACTGCTGTCTGTATTCAGTTTATATCTTGCAACTCATAATTCTATGTTTCTACCTGCAGGTTTCTGCGTATTACCAGCTCTGTACTTAATTTACTAGTGAGAAGCAAAATGAAGTGCAATGCTTGCTGGCGGGAGTTGGAAGGGCAAGCTGTATCAACAACCTGCGGTCATCTTTTATGTATGCCTGCAATCTTCCTTACTAGTTTTGCTTAACCAGTTTCTCATTGTAAACTAACATTGTCTGCTGCTATTGCAGTATACATAACTGATCCTTGCTGATGATTATCCGTTGAGCAGGTACAGAGGATGCTAAGAAAATACTGAGCAATGATGCTGCATGCCCGATTTGTGATCAAGTGCTTTCAAAAAGGTCTGTTGTTTACTCTTGAAGTTGTATTCATTATCTCATACTACATTTTCTCTTCTTTCCTGTAAGCTATTTTTGAATGTACATCATGATTTGACAATTAGGGATGCCAAAAGTACCTCAAACGCATACATATTTATCATCTCGATGGTTATTGCCATGTCATTTCATCCGAATGGGTGCTTAACACATGGAGTTTACTTTCTAGCATGCTTTGAAGCTTTTATACTTCTTTGATGTGTTCGAGTGAAAATGGACTCCAGTGGTTTACTATTTTGAGACAGTCTAAACATTATAATTTTTTTTCTCAGCCATATGAGACCTGTTGATACAAATCCAAATGATGATTGGACAAATGTAAGTTCGCTTACGATTCATTGTAGATAAAAGCAATCCTTCTTTTTCTAACAGCCAGTCTGCTCATTGGTACAGATGTCAATGGCTGGAGTTTCTCCACAGATACGTATCCTTATTATTTTCTCATTGTCCGTAAGATTCTTGTGCTACTTTTGTTGAAAATCATCACTAACTGCTATATGGAATCTATGGCGTAGCTAGCCTCTTGTCCTGTTTTATTGTCATAGTAATGCAAAAATCTGAAAGATCAAAATTGTTTATATGATTATTGTCTAAGGCTTGGTGACTATTCAGATTTTCCCTAACTATGATGCTAATCAGTTATGAAGAGTGCATACAGAAGTGTCATGTTTTACATTGGGCAAAAGGAACTGGAGATGCAGTACAAGATGAACAGAATTGTTGGTCAGTGTAGGCAAAAGTGTGAACTTATGCAGGCAAAGTTCACTGAGAAGCTGGAAGAAGTTCATACTGCATACCAGAAAATGGCCAAAAAATGCCAGTTGATGGAACAAGAGGTTGAAAACTTGTCGAGGGATAAGCAAGAGCTACAAGAAAAATTTGCTGAGAAATCCAGGTCAGTATGTACAGTACATTTCTAGTTTAATTCTCATATGAATAAACCTCTGCTTCATCCAACTTATATGGAGAATTGACTGCTGTCATTTCCAGGCAGAAAAGGAAGCTTGATGAGATGTATGATCAGCTGAGAAGCGAGTATGAGTCGGCAAAGCGTTCAGCAATTCAACCTGCGAACAACTACTTCCCAAGAGCCCAGCCAGACCTGTTCTCAGGCGTGCCCAACATAATGGATAGCAGCGACCCTCTGAGACAAGGTAATTTAACATGTTATCATTCAGCTTATTAGTTCTCTCATACCATATAACTCATCCTTTCCTCTGTGCACACCCTTTTGTTATGCTTCCAACCAGAAAAACTGTTAACTGTAATGCTTGGATTGCTAGTAGCCACTATTAAATATATAAAAGTTAAAATGCTTTTAGCCCTCCACAAAAACAGCTTATTCACTGGCTGCAGGATTGGCTGGTCTTCCTGAAACTCCAGGGCGGAGAGATGAGGGATGGGCTCCACCACCAAGGCAACGTCGGTCCACCTCTGGACCATTTGAGCTGTCTGCGGGATCTCCTGCTCACAATGCGGCGCCTCCGGTTGATATTAGGCCCAGACAGCCAGCACGGCCCGTATTCGGCACTGCCATGAATAATACTTCTGCAGCTCTGCGAAATATGATAATCTCGCCTGTGAAACGTCCTCAGCTTTCCCGAAACCGTCCACATATGTTCACGTAATGTCCTCCTTATTGCTCATGCATGTATTTCACATCTAAATGAAGCAGTTTGGGAATGAAAATTGATGTCCAACTTGCTCAAAAGAATTATTTCAACAGTAACATGACATTTCTACGCTTGCCCTTTCCTATACTAATTCATGGAAATGTGAAATGCCAGGTTGTAGAATTGGAAGAGCTGATGTGGCATCCTGCTTTGGAATCTGTCACGGTCTTGTCATGGACTTGCTAACTGTAAATGCAGTAAGATCAATCTGTCTCTTTCCCTCACTTCAATTTCTGCCCCATCATCTTGGTGTATAGAAACTGTTACAGAAGTCCCTTGGGAGAAGATTGTTAGGGAGGTTCTGATATATACTTGGGGCGCAAAGTCACTCCTTCCTGATTGCAATAACACGTAGTGTATCTGCAGCTAAATTCTTGGACTTTGTGACTGTCATCACACTAACCATCTACTATTAGTAGTAATAATTTACTACTGCTCGGGGTGGACTAACCCCTGAATGATGGGGACGGTTTTTCTAGGATTATGTTCTAGGGACCAGTACTGACTTGTCGGATGCGGGTTCTATAGCTGGAAACTACAAAGGGATCTGTTGTAATCGTGCCTTCTGTTGTTTATTATATTTGTAGTTACCTAAAATGCACTTAACCAGTTCTTCATTGAGCTATAGTACAGCACATCGTGGTCCTGAATTGTAGAAGTGGTACGTGGCATGCTATTTGTATGCACCCTAGCAAACTCATCAGCTCGAGACTAGCGCCTTTCGGCCTACCTGGACGAATTTTTATACCTTTCTGTCAACAACCCAAGGGATATGTCACGCCATCGCCCATCGATGATCAGCTGACGGCCACCGATCGTGAAGGCGAGAGGTACAGGATAAATACTATCCGTGATGGCTGCGTCTGCATTTTTTTTTTGTTTAGCATTGTTCGGGTGACTATTTATGGCAGCGGGCCAGCTGCTCCACCGAGCTGAAGCCTCGTCACCGCCCACGTACGGTGCGGCGATTGGCTGGGCTTGCGCTCGCCGGAGACGCTCCTGATTTAAATTAATCGAATGATGAGGAGATTTTGTTCCAGCTAATCCCTCTTGAGGTTGACAGCGAAAGCGGAGAAAACGAAACCTGCCGCTCCAATCCGGAGGGTGACGCTGGGCCGGCTGAGCACGTCAGCACTCGCCATTGAAAAGGATTACGGGGTGTTTGATTTGATGCTTCTTGTCGCAACGTGATAGTACTTTAATTTGAGGAATGTGTTGGGTTAATTGTACTAACAATCATGGTTAATCGTACTACTCTGTTAAAAAACCAATCCTAGTTTATATGAACTAAAAAATCAATTCTAATTATGAACCTAAATATAATCCTAGTTATGAACTAAAAATCAATCCTACATAACTAAAAATCAATTCTAATTATGAACCTAAATATACCCTAGGTTTGTAGTTAGGATTGAATTTTTAATGGGGGTGGAGGGGTATTTCACTTATTTGCCCACCTGGTAAAGATTATTTTACGGCCAACGCAAATAAGTGAAGTACGATTTGAATTAGGAGAGTATTATTGTTCAGTTCGGTTAGTGACTAGCTTTAGCAAACCACACTTAAACTTCCTATTATGTCTTAACAAGAATGTGTGGCTTACGTTGGAAAGAACGGCTAGCAGAACGGTAGCCATAAGTAAATTGATGTACGTCATATATGGGACCATATAGCTAAAATGAGCTACAATGCGTGGTGAATCTCATCTAAAAAAAATGCGTGGTGAATCATAATGATGGCAATAAAATCAAACAACTGCTATGCTAAGATGGTCTAAAGATAAAGTGAGCTAAGATGCCTTGTGATAGTCTAAAGTGAAAGATACAAAGATAGCTATCGCGGGAAAATTCCTGTGTATTCTCTCCGTTTACCGTTAACTTTTTAAACATTCCTATCATTTCATTTATTATTAAATATACTTTTATTTATTATTAAATATAGTTTACATGCTTCACAAAATATTTTAAATGACGAACGGTTAAACGTGTTCTAAAAATGAATGGTACCAAACATTTAAAAAATATTTTTCCTTTCATAACCATCCAAACAAGGCACACTCAACATTCGATTCCAACATTCGATTCCTAATACTGTGCTTTTCCTGTTTCTGTAGTTTTTGAAATCTTTTGTTCAAACGGAGCAAATTTTGTTGAACTTAGATACTACCAGTACTATTATTTTTTTTTGCTTGCGCATATACACCCGGCTGGCCCACAAGTCAGGCACACACCGAGACCAAAAACCCCCAACAAGGGGGAAAAAACCCAACATGGCTACTAGGAGAGCTACCTAGCTTCCTTCCTTCGCCGTTCACAGCCACTTCGTCCAAACACTTTGGGGAGGGCAAACTGAAACGGAAAATACTACTGCGTACACAAATCGTTGGATCGGCAACAAGAGCACGAATCTCAAAGCGGTTACAGCTTTAGTAGCCGCTGTCCACCACCGGGAACGCGTACGCCGGCGGGTAGTCGACGCCGGCGTCGACGACGGCGTTGCCGAACCCGTCGCCGCCGGTGTAGAGGCCGGTGAAGTCGACCGCGTCGTCCGGCACGAACGCGGCGGCAGCTGCGGCCTCCGGGCCGCAGCCGCCGGCGTAGAACCCGTCTGCGGCGGCGGTGACGAGGTGGCGGTCGCCGTGGGTGGTGGTGGTGGAGGATGAGTCGAGGAGGAGGCGCGGCCTCTTGACCTGATGATGCACGGCGGAGTCGTCGGCGTTGGAGGCGGCGGCGTTGGTGTTGTCCCTGTCGACGAGGCGGCGCAGCACCTGCGGGTCGCCGACGACCTTGACGAGGAAGGCGAGCATCTGCTTGGGGCGGCGCTCCGTCTCCTGCACGCGGCGCCACATCGCGGCGACGCGGCCCTCGATCTCCCGCTGCTCCCGCCTCAGCCGCGCCACCTCCAAGGCCACCACGGCGCTCTCCTCGTCGACGTCCCCGGCGGCCGCCTCCCCTCCGCCGCCGCAACCGCCGGCCTCCTCCTTCCTCTTCGCTCCCCCTCCGCCGCTGCTCCGTCGCACGATCCGGCGCAGCAGGTGCGTCTGGCCGCGCAGGAACGACACGTGCGCGAACTCCCACCTGTCCGGATCAACCTTGCGAAACCCCTGCACAATCCATTGATGACAGAATTTTGAATATAATCGAGCGAGCAGGAAGCAGGGAATGGGATGGAAGGAAAGCGAGAGCGTACGTAGGTGTTGAGCTGGCGGACGAAGCTGGAGAAGTTGGAGTGCTTGAAGTGGGCGGGGAGGAGGGTCTGGGAGAAGGCGAAGGGGTCGGCGACGACGAAGCTGTTGCTGTCCCTGCCCCAGGCGATGACGCCGTCGGTGGCCGGGTCGTCCACCATCCGGTACGTCTTCGCCACGAACGGCGCCACCCCGCCACCGCCCTCCGCCGTCGTCGTCGTCATCACCCTTCTTGCTATACTAGTAGTGCTAGTACAGTGGTTGGTGTTGGTATGCAGTGGAGGAAATGCGGGATGCAGGGGATGGTGGAGTGACGCAAATTTTATACGGGGATAGCGTAGCGAGAGGTGGCAAAGGTGATCGGCAGGGGGAGGACGCGTGTGCGCGCCCTGGACCCTCCCAGCCACAAGTTCTCGCGACCTTTTTCATTCCTTGGCCGCGGTCGCTTTGGGGTATTTTTTTTTTGGCTCGCGGCGCGCGTGCGTGGACTTGAGGGAGGGGGTGGGGTGATCGCATGTCATGGTCGTGGACGAATCGCGTTGGTTGGGATGTGGAGTGACCTGGCGGTGTGGGCCAATGGGGCTTCGACGTGTCCGAACTCGAGTAGCTGGGGGGCCAATTAACCCAACGCAACCATCACGCTACGGAAAGGGCAAGTACTAGGGTACCGAGTAACTACGGCTACTCCTCGACGGTCCAATGCGAGAAGGGCATAGTAAGGCCGTGGGGCGTCGCGCCGCTGGCTGGGGTGTCCGTACAGTCGGCAACCACACGCGGCAGCGAGAGGATATAGATCACAGTACACAGGTCACCCCGCGGCAGCGCGAGCCTACCTGGGCGCGCCACGCCTTGCATGCAGGTACGCGTCTCACGGGAATTCGCGCGCTGGCTCCGCTTGCCCCGTCGCTCCTCCGTACTCCGCTACTGTCTCCCCAAATGGGCCATGCCAGCCCGTCTCCAACTCTCCGTGCATGTATGCCTGCCAATACTTCGGTTTGGATAATTTTAGTCTCTCTCACATCAGACGTTGAGATATTAATTAGAAGTATTAAACATAAACTAATGATAAAACCTATTCCAAAACTCTGGACTAATTTACGAGACGAATCTATGACTAGACTATGTGACGCTACAGTAAACATGTGCTATGGATTAATTAGGCTTAAAAAATTTATCTCGTGAATTAGCTCTCATTTATATAATTAGTTTTATAATTAGTCTATAATTAATACTTCAAATTAGCGTCCAAACATTTAATGTGATAGGAACTAAAGTTTAGTTCTTGGATCCAAACACCAGCTTACCATGCCCAAATAGGTCAGTGTTGTGGATAACGGTTGGTACGGCCGTATATTCGGGCATTAATACGTTGGCGCCGACCCCTCCGTCACGAATGAGCAAAACGCTAAACATTAATCGTTTTAGGATGTATAATCACCGTCATTAGTGATTAATCGGCCGTTTCCGACTATTCGGCCGAATAAACGGCCAAATCATGTGACAAGGCCGGAAGGCCCTGCCCAGCCAGCCCACGATACTGGCCCATTAGTTGTGTAACCTAGCAATATATAGCTACAGTACGTCGTTTGTAATCAAAAACCCTCGCAACTCATTCCTGAAGCTACAACCTGCAAGTCTAGGGTTAGTTCTTTTCATCTAATCCTCTTTCAAATCCAATCTCCATATTTTGTTGTTGTCATTTTAATCTTCTGTTTGAATCTCGAACAGGTGAGCATGCTTGAAGTTTTTCTTCTATCAAAAATAATAAGCTATTATGAGTTATGTACATATATTTGTACAAAACATTAAATTTCCGTCAAATACCAATTATTCGCCCGTACTCCGATTAATCGTTTAGCGGAACCCTCTCCGTCCGACATCCGTGTTCCGTCATCCACAACACTGAAATAGGTTATTTGAGAATAGCTATATATATATATATTTATCGATAAATCTTTTTTCTAAAAGTTTTTAACAAATATAAGTATAGTATATTTATTGTATATTGCATGTACCTATAATACAATTGATATGTAACTTTTAAAAATCTCATGGTAACATGTTATTTTTGTGAACCGAAGATTATGATACCGAATCTCCTCACTACGATGCCACTGCTGACCTCCCTCTACACACCGCCGCCCCCGGTGCCGCGCGCCGCAGCCACCACCGCCCCCCGAAGCCACTCCGCCGTGTGACGCCGCCTCCGAAGTCCCACGCAGCAGCCGCCACCACTCCGCCATGTTATGGCGTCGCCGCAGCCACTGGCGTGCGGTGTTCCGCCGCCGCCGCCGACCTCTCCCTCTGTGCGCCGCTCGCAAGAGATTAGAGAGAGATAGGATTGGCCTGGATAGGGTTGAAGTGTGTCGAGGGTATTTTGGTCAATTTAAATAGTAAATATTTTTTTTTTCTAATTGAAATCCTAACGGTGTAATGAAAAGAGGGTTAAACGGGGTGTTCGATTTTGAAAAACGTGGTCAAATAAGCAAACGCGTCGATCGGTTCCATGGATCGGTGGCTGGGTGGGCATCCCTGCATCCAACTATGAACTACCAGTGCCGATCAGGTTGGGAGTTTTGGATTTGTCCTCCCCCACGTCTCGGAAATTAACGATTTCACGAAAAGAAAATTTTTGGGTGTCACATCTGATGTTTGACCGGATATCGGAAGGGGTTTTCGGATATAAATGAAAAAAACTAATTTCATAACTCGCATGAAAACAGCGAGACAAATTTATTAAGCATAATTAATCTATCATTAGTACATATAGGTTACTGTAGCACTTATGGCTAATCATAAACTAATTAGGTTTGAAAGATTCATCTCGCGATTTACATGCAAACTATGTAATTAATTTTTTTATCTATATTTATTGCTTGATGCATGTGTCAAATATTCGATGTGACGTTTTTAGAAAAAAAAAATTAGAACTAAACAAGGCCATATATAACGGGCGGCAAAGTGATCGATCGAGGTGATTATTTTTCCTTATCTTTTTTCAAAGAGATAAAGATGATCTTAACAGAGAGAGAGAGAGAGAGAGTAGCGGTACGTAACCTGGGGCGAGTGTAACGCCTTAGATTCGGAGATGGGTTTTTTCCACATGGCGCCCACCTCGTTTAATTTTCACTTGTGTAGAGTTTTTTTTTTATTTTTTTTTATTTTTTTATGGAGGGAGTACTGTCATCTCGTCAAACAAAACGGTAGGCAGGCGGGTTTGACCGACGGCGCCCTTTCTAATTCCGTGGAGTCCCAGTCACGTCACGGCATGCGCATGCCTAATCTGTACACCGAGCCTTAGGTGGTGTTTGGGTCCACGGACTTACTTTAGTCTCTATATTTAGATAATAATTTAGAGTATTAAATATAAACTACTTACAAAACTAATTATATAAACGAAAGCTAATTCACGAGACAAATTTTTTAAGCCTAATTAATTCATAATTAGAGAATGTTTACTGTAACATTACACAGACTAATTATAGATTAATTATGCTTAATAGACTCGTCTCGCGAATTAGTCCAAAATTATAGATGGGTTTTATTAATAGCCTACGTTTAATATTTATAATTAGTATATAAGCATCCGATGTGATATGGACTAAAAAAAATTTTTTAGTCCCTGTCTTAGCCAAACGAAACGACTACTTGTAGTAGGCAGCAAGCTACCGTTACAAAACGACAACCCAATCCGGGGGTATGGATGCAACTGTCTTTATCTCCTCTATTAGTAGTATTGTAAAAAATAGCTAGGTGGCCTGTGTAATTGCGCTACCCCATACGTTTATCATATCTTCTTTATTTGCTTGCTTGATTTACTACTATTTCTATTCATTCTTCTTGAAACCTTTAAAAGTTAGATCTTGTAGTTTTTAGAGTTTATTGTCTCGTTATGTTTCATTTTTATAATTTCTAGAAGTCCCGTCAAACGCTGCCATTATACTTCTCTACGGCTCGTCCACTGTCTTTTATCTTTATTGTCATTAGGATTTTAAAAATCGAACATAATTATCGTTTGGTTTTATTTTTTTCCTTTCTAGAAGTCCTGCCAAACCGTCAACGGCTTTGGCATTGTACTTCTGTTAACGACCAAATTTGGTAATATCAGCATCAGAAAGGAAGATTAGATCGAAGCGGAATCAAAGATAAGGATTATCGCGGAAACAGAGTAAGAATCGGCTGGAATCCGGATCGGCTACGACTGGGATCGGCTGAGTCCGAGTTAGACTGGGTTAAGTGATATAGCCGATTCCGACAATACGACTTGGTGGACGACATCGGGTCTAGTTGATATGCTTCAAGATAATTGCCATGCATGGATAGAGTCCAGGGAAGGCAATTGTATCTATTAATTTAGATATTTTATGTAATTTCCTTAGAGATATGTTTGGGTAAAAATCTGCCGCAAAGGCTTATGGTATCTTAAAGTTTGTTAGAGATAAGAGTCGTGTCCGATATGGACATAGTTTGTAATTCTCGGGTATAAATAGATCCCGAACCCCATGTAATTAATTAACACACACGTTCAATACAATCTCGGCGCATCACCACCCTTTTTTGCTTTCGTTTTATTTCGACGAGTTCTTGCTTTCGGGTTGAGCTGCATCGGTTTCGATTTTCAACAATAGGTAAAACTTGTTATGGCAGCTTGCATTCTCAAGATTAGTACTTCCATCTTTACGATACTCTAATTTTGTTTATGTAATTCGTCGAGTTATCATATATGTTGTATAATCTGTGGCAATATCATCACAGGGGCGAAGCTATAGCCATCTATCGGGGTCCACTGACCCCGACGATTTCTTGTGTACGTTTCTTACTCCACTTAATTTTACCGTGTATGACCCCGGTCGATAAAAACACTAGACCCTGGTAACCATGATTTGTTATAGCCTGATTAATTAGCAACTTGAAACGACACGTTTGAGATTAGCAAGCAACAAATAGGAATTAGCTAGCGCTAATGATTATACGTCAGCCCAAAGGCCCAATATACATTTTGGTAATCTTAGCAGTGAGTATTTGTGCATTTAATGTCTACTTTGTTTACATATTAATTATGTCCGGTTTTTAATACTTCCTCCGTTTCAGGTTATAAGACTTTCTAGAATTGACCACATTCATATAGATATAAATGAATTTATATATAATATGTAGATTCATTAATATCTATATGAATATGGGCAATGCTAGAAAGTCTTATACCCTGAAACGGAGGTAGTATAATTTATAGACATGTCCGTGCGTTGCGACAATCTCATATGGGCCAATGGTTGCTCGTAGCATTATTTAGGATATGGATTTTCATCCCTCGAGGGGATATCCCCTCATTGTTTGCATGTCATCTAAATAGTTATAAAAAAATTGACAACATAGGTTGATAAGA